AATGTTTAACAAATGGCCTGTAATATATATTTTCAACAAAGCATAATAACAAAAAAACCCTTATAATTGGAAAATGGTTTACTTACATGAACCGATTTGACCCAATGCTTCAAGTGCGCATTCACTTTCATCAGCATTTTCATTTTCCAGCAAAGTAAACCTCTTGTCAATGGTTAAAATGAAATTTTTATAACCTACCAAAAAAAATTATCTCAATCATTAGCCACTTGTAATTATGAAAGGGTCCTTAGCAAATTAAACATTCCGTCCCAAAATGAAGTTTACACTTTACTTTTTTAGACGTCAAAAAATTAAGTTTTCGCTTTCTCACTTTCCCATTAAGGAAAAGAATGACTCACAAAATTTCTCTCTCCTAAACAAATTTCAACCACTCAGTTTTTATTTCCCAAGACTTTTCTTAAACCCCATGAAGTCAAACTGTAAACTTCATTTTGGGACGGAGGGAGTATAAAATAAAATTGTAACACCAATGCAAACATTTCACTGAAAGTGAGCAAGTTTTCCAAACTCTGTTGTCGACATATTTAAATGTGAATCATAACTGCTCAAGGTTTTTTATGTCTCTCATATTTAAATGGACCCGATCTCAAGGCTCATGCTTGTGATATTTTCTTTAAAGAGTTGAAGAAGAATAATATTTGGCTCAACTCATAGACCAGGAGTCCAGGACCACGTCCCAGCATTTTGTTGGGCCCAGGAGGCCCAATAACATATAGTAAGTCTTACAGACCCGCTTGACAGACAAGGCCCAGCAGTCGAGCTCGGTACCCTGCATGAGTGCATGAGCAATGGTTCGTCCCTCTCGCTGACCAGAGGGCCCCTCAAAGCCTTCAAATGTCTACTATGTTCTCAAGTAACCTAAGCACGTTGTGGACTTGTAATAGTGTTTGCAATAATATGATGAGGCCTTGCAGGCCATATTTGTAATCTCCCTGCCAATTCTACGCATCTATAACAATACATCATACTTTCAAAGGTAATCCAACGTAATTGGCGCATATACTTTACCAACATCTATACTAACTTCAAATACTTAAACGTGTAAGAGTTTTGCACACACGTGCACATGCAAAGAAAGAAATGACGTGTATCTTACTGGATTCATCAATTAAGAGAAATGCATTCTCATTTGATAGCAACCTTCCAGTAATCGTCATTGCTCTAGATCTCAAGATTGAATCAACGGAGGCATTGCTACAGAAGAAGAGAAGCAACAATGAAAAAATCATCTTAATAAAACAAAACCACATTTAACCTCCATCAATATAGAAAAGAATATAATAGAAAGAACAATCAATGGTGATGTGTAGAGTGCGAACACCGTTAACAAACACCCCACAGAAAGAAAAATACGCAATGAAAATAGAGTGCCACAAGTGTACCTAATTATTGAACTAAGCAGATGAAGAAGTGTAGTCCTCGACAAAAATTCCATGCTGTGCGGAACTTCAACCAACTTCGTTCATCAAGCACATGCATATAGAACACATAAAAGATCAATACAGAATTAGTTGAAGTCAAAATAATGTAGAGATCCATTTACTCATCATAGCAGTGTTTTGTTTCTAGGCAATTTAAATTCAAGTTGGCATCTAGAAAGACAAAGAACCATTAGCACCAAAGATCACATGAAAAGATGCAAATCTTTAAATGAAGCATTATGGAATGGAACTACGAATGGTAAAAGGCAAACCTCGAATAGAAGTTCTAATGCGCTTAATGTTACAAGTGTATCATTAGCATTGTTGCTAACTTCATTCTCCAACAAGCTAAGAAGATTGGCATCGTAGACTTTTGATGCCACATTGCTAGAAATAGAAAATAACTTCACAATCAACGCCAAAACTCGAACTCGTCCCTGAATCATTTTGAAGAACTAAGAACCAGGACAGGGGAAAGACAAATTTATTGTGTGTAATATCATATGAATTTGAAGAGCAACAAATTTTACAAAGATACACCACTGTAGTTTGTATATAGCAACATAAATAAAAGACAAAGAAAGTTTATTGAGTACTTTACCAGTGAAGTACATTTCACAGCCAAGTCCCCAAGTTGTGTCCCCCGGCTACTTCTAGGAAAGATGATATCCTGCAGAAAGTTTTGTCCATTCAACAGAAAATCATGCCCGGAGAACTGATAAAATATCATAGAAAGTATTACCAAAAACTCTAACCGCATTGACCATATGACAGACACAAAAGCATAGTTACATACCAAGCCTTTTGAAAACCCAGCCAAATTCTTAATTGCATCCGTAGCTGCTGTTGCAACTTGCTCATCCCTAAATACATCCCAATGGTCAATTTCATGAGGCTAAGTCATGAAAGAATTGTTGAATCTATTCCCTTTGTTGCACATTTAAGTTTGCACTTGCCTTTTATAGACATCCCAAATTAAAGTTCTCATTTCTTTTAAGGAATAAATTGTGCGGTTAAGAGAAAGGAAACCAAATAACACATGTGCAGAGATCAAAAGAACCAAACTTCAAGGGAAAGTTAATCCAGTGAAAGTTTTGATTAATGTTTTAGCAGAGAACAATTCACAAAATAGATAAACAACCATTGCGGTATCCGGTGGAGCAACGATTTGGCCATACAGAAGAGATTAGTCATACAAAAAAATGTATCTTACCCATCAATGAGGCAAGTAAGCAATAAAGGATATACATCATGCTGAAGAATGAGACTTGTGCCAGTAGTTTCATCAGCATTATCCAAAAGGCGAGCCACCTGAAAATAGCTCTTTGTATGTAAGATTCAAACTTGATATGAAATGAATTTCTTTCCATGGTGACAAAGATGTAAAAAAGATATAACCCCCTACCCTTATGCAACTTTTTCTAAATTGTATGCATAGAGACATGAATGTGCATTGTAGATATTCTTTTTTCTACTACACTGTAGAGCAATCTGTGCTTATACCGTGTGTGTGTGTGTGTGTCATTTGATAATTCACAGTTTAACACAGCAGGGTTCTATCAAAATGAATTCTCTAATATTATGTCACATATGTTCTTAATGTTTATTCTATTGATACCAGAGTGTGTAGAAACAAAAGGACATGATGCATATACATTACAAAAACAAGCCCCGTAAAATCTCACAAAATTTAGGGTCTGGGGTGTGCATATGCACACCTTACCACTACGGCACTACGACGATGTTTCCAATAGACCCC